TGCCCTATATGTGATTTTGTAGTACGTAATTAGCACTTTTTTTCCTCTCCTAGCACCATCAGAAATGTAATTTACAGGCATTTGTTCGATGATGTAAGACTCCGTATAGACTCTGATACTACATTTACAAAGACCACTTAGAAAAGTTCTTACTGAATATTTAAGGCAATTAAGAATCACTAATAATGCTAATGAATATTATTAATTAGTCAAAGTAATAAGAAAAGGATTAAGGTCTTTTAGCTATGGTTCAGCAATTATGATGCTAAATCAGTCTCAAGAACTGCTAATTGCATGGTAAGTCCGATTCCAACAAGCATCATTTCGTCGTTAACGAAACAATCCATCCATAAAATTGAAAACCAAATTGACAAATGATTCAATCAAAGAAACCTCCCAGAAAACAAACATCAAAATACCTGTACACTCTGATTAAGACAACAAAAACACTTCTAATCTCATAGTTTCAAACGTTCAAGAAGCGGCTCTTTCTATGCAAGTCACTTCCCTCCAAATTCCTTGGAACTCTCTCCTCCTCCTTTTAAATCTCCTGGACTCCTATAAATCTCAGACAACATTCTTCATACAAACTGTACTCAAAATGGCTGGTGATCATCATACAGTCATTGACATGCCAAAAGCTGCAGCCTTCACCGGTGGGCTAGGATTCTCAGACTTGACGTACGCAGTTGCGAAGAAGCAGAAAATCGACGGGAAGTGGGTTACAGAGGAAGTCGACTTACTGCATAGAATCACCGGTTACGCACCAAAAGGATGTGTAACTGCAGTTATGGGCCCGAGCGGTGCTGGGAAGTCAACTTTTCTCGACGCGCTCGATTGCCAGCGGGAGCCTGAAAGGCAGGGTTTCCCTTGATGGAGCTGAGATGACTCCCAGTCTTATAAAGAGATCATCGGCATATATTATGCAGGATGATCGATTATTTCCTATGCTTACTGTGTATGAAACTCTCATGTTCGCTGCTGATTTCCGTTTGGGCTCAATTTCTCGTTCTGATAAGAGGCAGAGAGTCGAGAGACTCATCGAACAGTTAGGACTATCGGTAATTCTTTTTGAAATTTAGTCTCCCACATTTATATGGTCTGTTTGGCAACTCTTCCACTAGCTAATCAGGCTGGAATTCTGCATGGCGAACAATTGGACAAAAACTGGAGGAAAAAAAAAAAATTTCCCTCCGAGTATTTGACCCTTAAAAACCAGTTTAGTTCTGTACTGTGGGGAAGTGGTCCAGAACTAAACTGATATAGGCCAAAACCGGCCTAAGAGAGGGAGTTGCCAAACTGACCCTTGGTTTCTTTCTGATAAGTTTATGTTATCAAATATTCTTTTTCTTCAATTTAGTCGTCAAGAAACACGTATATTGGAGACGAAGGAACACGAGGAGTATCTGGAAGGAGAGCGTCGGTCGATCTCAAATTTGGCGTGGAATAATCCACGCCCTGGCATTGCTCTTCCTCGACGAGCCAACATCAGGACTCGACTCCACGAGCGCTCACAGTGTGATCGAGAGGGTTCACGATATTGCTCGATCAGGGAGCACCGTCATCCTCACAATCCATCAACCTTCCTATCGAATCCAAATGTTGCTTGATCACATGGTCATCCTCGCCCGAGGTCAGCTCATGTTCATCGGTTCGCCGAGAGATGTAGGTGGTCATTTGGGCCGCATGGGCCGAAAAGTCCCAAAAGGCGAGAACTCGATAGAACATTTGCTGGATGTGATCCAAGAGTATGATCAGTCTGAGCAAGGAGTGAGCCCACTTGCCGATTTTTGTCTCACCGGTTTGAAGCCGCCTCGCGTGAACAACGAGGATCGGTGAGGATCGGTCGGTTTCTACAGTTCAGCCAACACCGCAGCTGCCACACCCTCGTCCAGGGAGAGATATCGACGAGTTTGATCACAGTGTTAGGAGTCCGTGGAATTCGTCGAGATCATTATGGAGTGGTAGCCAGAGCGGGGTGATGGATGCACTGAGGATGACTCCTAACCGTCATCGGAGTGATCAAGGCAAGCGAAATAATGTACCGAGGTAAGTACTCAGAGTCGAGAAAGATGCAAATTGATGATTTAAGGGTTTGTTTGACACCTTCCCACGATGAGACCATGGTTGATCCTGATCTCATTTTGGAAAGAATCATATTTGCGAAAACGTGGGGGTAGAATCAGTCTACCTCAAAACGAAGGTCCATTCGTCAAAAAGAAAACAAATTTCTCTTTCTTTAAGGGAAAGGAGACAAAAAATTTAAAAAAAAAAGTTCACTTCGGGTGTCTATCTGCAACAGTAGATATGCAAGGGATCTAATCATAATTGGGGGGTACGTAGAATAGGGGTTATCCATAATTAACCCTTGTTTCAAGTACAAGGCAAGCAACAAAGAATGTACAAGGGTAACTCTAATAGAGCTAGCTGAGTAAAAAAATATGATCCGTGTAGCTGATGTTTAAAATTTTCATGCAGCCCATCGCCAGGCCACTACACATACGCAAACGAAATCCTCTCAAGCACGCCGACCCCTCACAGCAGCGACTACACCGTCAGCGAGCATGACTACCTAACCCCAAACACACTGAATGGAACGGGTACAAACAACCGTAACAATCTAACCCACGGCCCCAAATTCGCAAACTCATACCTAACCGAGATATGGATCCTAATGCGCCGAAACTTCACCAACATCCGTCGAACCCCCGAGCTCTTCCTCTCCCGCCAAATGGTACTAACTGTCATGGGCGTTATGATGGCCACCATGTTTCTAAACCCAAAAGACGATCCCCAAGGCATTACCGATCGCCTCAGCTTCATAATCTTCACCTGTTGTCTCTTCTTCTTCTCATCCAACGACGCCGTCCCTGCTTTCATACAAGAACGCTTCATTTTCATACGTGAAACCTCACATAATGCATACAGGGCGTCATCGTACACGGTCTCAGGACTAATTACTTACCTGCCGTTCTTACTCGTTCAGGCCGCGACATATGCAGTTATAGTATGGTTCGCCCTGAAATTACACGGACAGTTCTACTATTTTCTCATAGTTCTCTATGTTTCGCTTCTGTCAACAAATTCCTTCGTGGTTTTCGTTAGTTCAGTAGTGCCAAACTTTATACTGGGTTATGCAGCAGTTATTGCCTTCACTGCACTGTTCTTTTTGTTTTGTGGGTATTTTATCAGTGGTGATAGTATTCCTCAAGGATGGAAGTGGATGAACTATATATCGACGATGAAGTATCCTTATGAGGGGTTGTTGATGAATGAGCTCGTGAGGGATCGGGTTTTTGCTGTGAGTCCTTTGGGACCGGTGACTGGGGAGGATATACTGAAGCAGTTGTCAATAAGTACGAAGGAGAACGAGAAGTGGATGATGGTGCTGTATTTGTCGGGGTGGGCGGTTTTTTATCGGGCCTTATTTTATTTGGTGCTCAGATTTGCTTCTAAGAATCAGAGAACATGAAGAAGATTGATGTGTAGGGCATTTATCAGAATTTTTGTGATATTACATTGTCAAAATTGGATGCTCAAGTTAATTTTTCCATTTAATTTCTTGTTGTTCTTGTTTCCCTATAATTGGATTGCTCAATTTGGACAGGATTTAAGCACGTGTCATCAGCAGAGGGGCTACAAATAATTCGATTGTTCACCCTTTTTTTCTCCCCTTCTTTTCTTTTCATATTAACCTGTGTTTTTGTTGAAATATTAATAGGTTTAGGGGCTTATTTGTAAGTTGTAGAGGCCTATATAAGCCCATGTTATCTCATGAATAATATTTTAGGGTTTCTATTCCAATTTGGTATCAGAGCACAAAAACCCTAGCCATCAAAACCACACCCCCCTTTGCTGCTCCTCGCACGTCAGTCCTCTCCTCAGACCCCGAACCCTCCCATCACCCTTGACCGAACCCCCCCTCATCACCGTGTCGAACCTCGAGTTTGACATGGATTCCCTCGACTCAGTCCTCGAACTGATGACAGGAAGAGTATATATCTCACGGCGATGAGATATGTAACTGTTTTTGGTTCTTGTTTCCTCTGAGAAACGAGAATTTGTTTGAGATCCTACTCTTATTGTGCAGCAGAGGTGCTGCCGAAATTTTTTACTGCACACAACAAGGGTCGGAAGAGAAGGTGAACAGGTGGTGGGTCTGAAGCCTATTCGATGGAGGAGATCATCAAGAAGTTTAACCCCGTGGAGGTGTCAACTTTGATGAAGCTAATGAAGTTGTCGGCTGGTGAGAGTGCGACAAAACCATCGAAGAAGTTGGAGCTTCCAACCGTAGATCTGAAGCTTGATGGACCGAGTACTTACCTGAGCTGGTCGCGGCGGGTGAGATACACCCTAGCAGGGAGGAACCTGGAGGGTTACTTGACAGGAGAGGCGACAGAACCGGAGGACTCGGAGGGAAGAGATGAGTGGAAGTCCACTCATATGTTGGTGTACATCTGGCTTCTCAACTCGTTGGTCCCGACGATCGCCGCCACGGTGGATGGCATTGAGAAGGTGAAGGACGTCTGGGAGAAGTTGAGGAGGACATATGATGGAGTGGGGAATAACATGAGGGTATTCCAGATTAAAGGAGAGATTGACGCCACAGTCCAGGGAGAGAAGACTGTACAGGAATATGCTACAGAGCTGGAGCGCCTGTGGCTGGATTATGACCATTTTTTCTCCCCGGGCTAGCTGTAAGGACCCGGGATGTAAAGAGCGGGAAGCCTTTCTACAAGAAAGGACTATGGTGTTTCTTAAAGGATTAACATCAGAGTTCGCTCAGCGAATCGCATTGCTTCTAGCTCAGCCAAAGATTCCCACGCTTGAGGAGGCTGTCTCTGCTATGATCCAGGAGGAGACTCGTATTCGGCTGCAGGCGGGGACAGGTGGACTTCCTGTGGTGAAGTCAGCACTGGCAGCCTCTAGCAACACTGGATCTAGGGGAGAGACCCGACAGTGTTACAACTGCGGTGCGGTGGGTCATCTAAGACATGCTTGCACCAAGCCATCCAAGGAAGGAGATTCAGGTGGACGTGGACAGTTCGGAGGTCGTGGTCGGGGCCGTGGGGGTCGACGAGGTGGAAGAGGAGCAGGAAATCGGGCGAATCTGACGGTAGCAGAAGAAGAAGAAGCTGAGGTGGTCTTTACAGAGGAGGATCGTGCTCTCCTAACGATACTCAGGAAAAAACAGCAAGTAGCAGGGGATGAAAACTTGAGGAGTGGGACTGAGGAGGCATCCACTTCGCTCTTCGCCAGAGGCAATGCTGCTACCTATGCTCATCCGACCAAAGGTACTGATGACATACATGCTCTTGCTTCTATGTCTCCTAACAGATCATCAGAGTGGATAGTCACCAAAGGTACTGATGACATACATGCTCTTGCTTCTATGTCTCCTAACAGATCATCAGAGTGGATAGTCGACTCCGGTGCGTCCCGTCATGTGACAGGTAATGCTAGTGAGTTCTCATCATATACTCACTTAGTATCGCCTGATAGTATTCAAACAGCTGATGGTACATTTCAGCCGGTGGTTGGTAAGGGTACAGTCGATTGTACTAGTTCTGTAACTTTGTCCAATGTGTTGCATGCTCCTTCCTTTCCAGTCAATCTTTTATCCATTAGTTCTATCATCCTCCAACTAAAATGTATTGTTTCTTTTGATATTCCCAAGGTGATTTTCCAGGAGAAGGGGACAGGGCGGAGACTTGGGACTGGCACATGGCGTAGTGGACTGTGGTATCTGGATCGTGAAGGGCTGGATTCAGCATTGGTGTCAGTCATAGAGGAAGCAGGAGTAGAATCTAATATGAGTACTGAGAATGAATTAATGCTTCATCACCAGCGTTTGGGACACTCATCCTTTAGTGTTTTAGGTAGATTGTATCCTTCTTTATTTGAGAAAGCAAATAAACAGAAACTTGTGTGTGATGCATGTGAGTTTGGAAAGCTTACTAGAAGCTCTTATGTTAGTTCTGGTCATAGAAGTTCTCATGCATTTGACATGGTACATTCAGATGTTTGGGGACCTTGTTCCACAAGTTCTATGAATGGATACAAATATTTTGTTACATTTATTGATTGCTTCTCTCGTGTTACTTGGTTATACCTGATGAAGAATAAGAGTGATGTGTTTGGGTGCTTTCAAAACTTTCATAGGACTGTTCAGACTCAATACGGAGCAGTGGTGAAAGTATTGAGGTCAGATAATGGGACAGAGTATACCAACAGAGCCCTTGAAGAATATTTGTCATGGAAGTCTCCGTGTGAGACGTTGAAAGGAGATAATGGTGGGATTCTTCCACTGAAAGTATTTGGTTGTGTGTGCTTTGTGAAGGATAACAGACCATCAGTCGGGAAGCTTGCCCCTAGAGCGGTGAAGTGTATTTTTGTGGGATATTCTGCTACTCAAAAGGGATATGTTTGCTGGAGCCCGGTGAAGAAAAGGCTGTTCGTAAGTATGGATGTGTACTTTCGTGAATTTGAGCCATATTACACACAGAATGTACCCTCATCCATTGGTGACTCGCCCAATACTGGAAGCATAAGGCGAGAAGGGGAGAATGGTGAGAGGCAGAATAATATGGAGAAATCGATTTCTCTAACGATTCCTTGGGAAGGAGAATTGGTTGAGGAGGAGCAGGAGAATAAAGAAGAAGAGGATAAGGAGACAAGAGGTGTTAGGCAGGAGAATAAAGAAGAAGAGGATAAGGAGACAAGAGGTGTTAGGCCCACGGCTCAGGGGGAGCTACTTACCTATAGTAGGAAGGGGAAGCAAATTGCAGAAACAGTACCTACAGTGCCACTAGTGCCAAGTCCCTTATCAACGCCTGTCCCGACTCCTGAGACACCTACACCACCATCAGATTCCTTCCAAGGTGATATCAATCCTCCCCTTACTCCTCCCACACCAGTATCAGTACGGAGGACTACTCGCAGCAATGCGGGACATCCTCCCGATAGATATGGTTGGGATCTTGCCCAATTTATATCATATTCTAATATCCACCCTGCACATGGAGCATTCATTGCATCATTGGACTCTGTTACTATACCTAACAATTGGCAGGTTGCTAAGAAGGACCCAAAGTGGAAAGCGGCTATGCACGAGGAGCTAGGGGCTCTTGAGAAGAACCGCACTTGGGAGCTAGTAAAACTACCAGAAGGAAAGAGAGCAGTTGGATGTAAGTGGGTCTTCACTGTGAAGCAGAATCCAGATGGACAAGTTGAGCGCTACAAGGCTCGTCTGGTGGCAAAAGGGTATAGTCAGACATATGGCATCGATTATGATGAGACTTTTGCACCGGTGGCGAAGATGAGCACTGTTCGGACCTTAATCTCTCTGGCAGTAAATGGTGGATGGAAGCTACACCAACTAGATGTGAAGAACGCATTTCTTCATGGAGATCTAGTGGAGGAGGTATACATGGAGATACCACCAGGATTTGGTACAGATCAGACAGTGGGAAAGGTCTGCAGATTGAAGAAGTCTCTCTATGGGCTGAAGCAGTCTCCCCGTGCTTGGTTTGACAGATTCAGAAGGGCTATGATTGGTATGGGGTACCAACAGATCAACGCCGACCATACCGTGTTCTTTCGACGGAGTGGAGGCCACATTACCATGCTTGCGGTATATGTGGATGATATGATTATTACAGGGGATGATGAGAAGGAGATTGCCCAACTCAAAATGAGACTGGGTAAGGAATTCGAGGTGAAAGATCTTGGCTTGCTTCGATACTTTCTTGGAATAGAGATAGCTCGAGGAGCGGAGGGAATCGTCCTATCCTAGAGAAAATATGCACTGGATCTTCTCAAAGAGACAGGGATGTTAGGGTGCAAACCTGCAACTACACCGATCGACCAGAAGTTCAAGCTAGGTGCTGAGGCCAGAGAACCAGTTGATCGTGACAGATACCAGAGGCTGGGGGGAAGATTGATCTATTTGAGTCACACACGTCCTGATATCTCTTTTACAGTGAGCGTGGTGAGTCACTACATGCACGATCCGAGGAAGGGTCATATGGACGCTGTGTACCAGATTCTGAGATATTTAAAGAGTGTCCCCGGAAAGGGGCTGATATTCAGAAAGAATGGACATGTGAACATCGAGGGTTATTGCGACTCTGATTGGGCTAGCTGTGCTGATGACAGGAGATCCACCTCAGGATATTGTATCTTTGTAGGAGGCAACTTGGTCTCGTGGAAGAGCAAGAAGCAATCGGTGGTAGCGAGATCAACAGCTGAAGCAGAGTATAGAGCCATGGCCTTAGGAGTTGCAGAGTTGTTGTGGTTAAAGAGTATGCTGGTGGAGCTGGAGCTGGATCAAGGAGCCAAGATGAAGCTGTGGTGTGATAACAAGTCAGCCATCAGTATCGCTAACAACCCAGTGCAGCATGATAGAACCAAACACATCGAGATCGATAGGTTCTTCATCAAAGAGAAGTTGGACAATGGACTACTGGAGTTAAGTCATGTTCCAACTAAGGATCAGGCAGCAGATTGTCTGACTAAGGGACTTAGCTCAGTAGATATGATTAGAGGATGTGACAAGATGGGCTTAGTGGATATCTTTCGCCCATCTTGAGGAGGAGTGTTGAAATATTAATAGGTTTAGTGGCTTATTTGTAAGTTGTAGGGGCCTATATAAGCCCATGTTATCTCATGAATAATATTTTAGGGTTTCTATTCCAATTGTTTTATCAGTAAGCTCTTACTGAAACATACTCAAACGGATATAAGCATGTAAAATCAGAAAAAATCCCGTACAATATCATCAAGTTATGTGAATGCTCATCACTCCTAAAATCCTTCTTACCCTACGATAACTCCTTCAGCATCAATCTGGGTATATCAATTCTGCACCCTAGCCCTCCTGAATCTAATTGTTGTCGATCTAAATTGCGAGCGTGCTTCCCTCTCAGCCAAACAATTTTTGACTGCAGCCTGATATCCTTGGATCTAAACAATACAAAACTAGGAGCATTCTTCATGTTCGAACCAAACATTTTATGACTAGATAAAAATTTGATGCCGATATACATTTGACGCCCCCGCAATTTATCGCCAGTGTCGGGTATGTACACCCTGGAGGTGCTTGGTGATTAAGGGCGACAAAAGCTGCATTCCTAGTGGATACATAAAGGACATAGGCTTTTGCTTTATTCATTCATTCATTTATTTATTTATTTAGTTTATTTTCATGTAAGGAACATGCCTACATAGATCAAGCTTAAGAAAAGAATAAAGCTACAGACAAACTGAACGAGACCATTCTTAAGTTCAATCGCTACATAATTAAAATGTTTAATACTTAAATGATCACATCAATTTAACTTTTCGTTAATTAAGATATGGGGACAGTCTGACATCTTTAATCAGACTAACCTTTCAGCATCGGTTTCATCCATGGATATTGCTCATATCGAACAACAAATATATAGATGAAACTAACAACTAGTATGAAAACAAAGATCAGCAACTTCCCAGAACAGGCTGTTTAAAATCAGCATATTCTTCAAATTTGTCGCAAATAGCGTAATCAGCATATAGGTATTATCAGTTCAATTTGTTTTTTTAGTCCTGACATCTGGATACGACTATTGTTCAAACACTAAGCTCCATGTTCATAAATGGTAAACAGATTCAAATCCATTATAACTACAAAAGGAACCAAGCACAGAAGCAATATCGGATTAAGTTATCCATAATTCTAACAGAATGAATACAGAATTTGATGCATACCTGAAGAGGAAGCCAAAAGAGACATATCCCCCAAAATGGCTTGCTTTTATCTACAAGAAGCAGTATGACAATATTCGACCATATCCCAGACCAAATATGCTCAGAAATAGAATGATATAAATAAGAAGATAAGATAATTGAAGACATGGATCTGATATATGAATTACTGATCAAGATACACTAGATATTATTGATGTTAGCAGACTTCGTTTCTCCATCAGTAAAACTTGCACACATAAAAACAGCTTCATTGTCTCATCAGATTCAATACAAGGAGGGGGGAAAAAACTCTGCAGCACTCACTTGCCTAGCAAACTTAAAATCAGAATTAGACGTCAAAGCTGACATTAATTCTGTATTAAATTTTGGACCACCATGCTAAGAGACAGGCACTTGAAAGCCTAAATGAACCATTCATTTATTCAGAACTGTTGTTACATAGATATGTGAATCGATTTTCATACAAAGGGTACACTGTGAATACAAAAGTACAATATAAATTCAAATACATATACCCCCAGTTTTACCTCAGGATACTACTGCCTTGTTCTATTCTTCTTCTTCTGGGGGATCCACCCAACGTCCATGTTCTTTTATTAGCTGTATTAAAGCATCTGTTGCTTGCTCCATTGCAATACCTCGCTTCACCACCGTCTGAAGATAAAAGCCAATTTTTTTCTTTTTCAGTTTATAAATCAAAACTTGAAAATGTTCTACAAACTGGCATAAAGATAATGATAAGAATAAGATGAGGATATATGGAAATATAAGCTTGTCATAAAGTAAGATCATCTAAAATTGAAATAATTTGTATCTGTGGGAAAACAGGTTGATATAGAAACCACCAAGTTCACTAACACTGGGTGAGATAAAAGGAAATGGGCGATAATATGATAGATGCCCAAAGATAAATTCCTTATCTTTTGTGTTGACAATAAAACAAAACAAAAGCTCAGCAGTTTATCATTCTAGAGTCCTAGACTGAGGAAAATACCAGGAGTGCTTCACGTTTAGTGGAGTTGTGACTTAATCATTTGTGGTTGTATATACAGTAGAAGGCCCCCAATTAATTTTTATCATCTCTCCATCCCCATATATTTCTACACTGTAGAATATTCTCCTTTATTATCAACAAATCATGGGCTCAGACCTTTCCTAAAAAGTATGTAAGACGAAAAACTTCCCCCTGAATTGTATTATAAGGACTCATCTGTGCTTAATGGAAGAAGTGAAACCTACCTTCCCAACATAGAGGTCAATTTTCCCTGGCGCACCACCGACATACCCAAAGTCTGCGTCGGCCATCTCACCTGGCCCATTCACTATACAACCCATGATAGCAATCTGCCACAGGTGAAAACAATGTTCATTCTCGCTACATAAAAACTCAACCTTTTTATAATAACTTAACAAAGTGAGAAATAAATGGCTTACAGAAACACCAGGCAAATGTGATGTCTTTTCTCTTATCTCAGCACTTATTTCTTGAAGATCAAAGAGTGTACGACCACAAGATGGGCATGAAACATATTCCTGCATTAAAATTTGATGCAAGAAATTATAATCTGAAATAAAAAAGAGTAAAGAGAAAAAGACAAAGATATAGTGATAATTTACAGTTTTTGTGTTTCGCATTCTGCAGCCCTGAAGTAAGTTGAAAGATGTATTTCTCAAGAAATCGAAATCTTGGTCACGAGCCTCAAGCATTATGCCATCACCAAGCCCATCAACAAGAAGGGCACCGGCATTGCTTCCAGCAGCAATAACTAGGTCGTCTCTGTGAACTTAGGATGGTTAATATAAGCGAGAATATTTCTCAAAAGTATAATTACGCCAGGTAATATTTCAACAAACACCCCCCGCACCCCACCGCAAAAAAAAAAAGAAAAAAAATTTGGTCCATTGTCAGTTTAAATTTTGCAACTTCTGCATTTTTCTGAATCTTCAAATAATGCCCGCCTTTTGAGGGTTATCTGAAAATTTTTTTGGGCGTTAAGTGACATTTCCAAACTTCTGCGGTTTATCTCAAAAATGGGTCAAACTTCTCGAAGGTTTTGTGAATTTACCCCAACCCTCCAATAAGTACCTTTCTGTTCCTTCAGGAAACCGTATGTGGTGGATAACTGGGAAGTTCAAAGAATTTTCTTCTAAATACTCGAACAGCCTGCAACGGAAAAAAGAAAGGATAAAATGTATCTTAGAATTTACATTTCATTTTTAACAGCACAAATAAAAGAAACTACAGGGAAATCTCACCTTCTTGCTGCATGAACCCTGCTGATCTTTTCCTCGCTGTATGGCAAATCATGCAGCAACATCGTTATATCCTCAACACCTTTAAGGGCTTCTAGCTCCTCGTAGGGTTCATCCCCACGAATAGTCACAGCTAACCTAGTGCCTAAAATAACAAAAAATGGAAGGGAAAAAAACATGAAACACGTTACATTTAGCTTATTTCCAGGTTACCTATGGAAGTACAGATGTGAAAGTTCATACCTTCAGGCAAAAGCTTGTAGGCCCCAGTTGTAAGTTCCTTAAGGTTTACAAGGGCAATAGCATTAGGAAGTGGTTTTGTAAGTTGTTCTGACAAAGGCACCAAAACTCCCATACTGATATCAATCAACCTTTTGAGAGCCAACCTCTGAGAAAAAGAATTTTTAGTCCACTAAAAAATTTATCAAGCAATTTTATTAGTCAGTAACACAAATTTAAACAGTCAAAACAAGGATTTCGTTCTTACAGAATCAACATCTTCCACAGGGGGAAGATCTCTGAGCAGAATTGAATCTACTGTTGCCAAATCCTGATACAAATCAGAATTATTAGAATTTCTGCCTGTACCATACAAAAAAAATTACCTGTTCAAAAAGGAAACAAAATGCTGCAAAGGAAGTATAAGGGAAAACCTTAAATGGCATGCCAACCACAAGCTTCGCTGCAAGAGACTTGTACAGAAGTTCTGGTGTCTGATAAGAGATGATAAATTATGGTCAACATATGATAATGTACAACTTTACCAAATAAATGAATTTACATGATCCTGTAATCATTAAGTGGGAATGCTATTTCCAGAGAAATCTAATCACACTGTATATAAGGAAATGCATCAGACCGCCCTACAATATTCTATGGAAAGGTAAATTGAAAACACATATAATAGGAAGAGGCATATCTATTTTTTATCATGTGACAGCTGGAAGCAACATAATCACAAATTCTTTTTCGTGAAGTATAAATTCAAACAATTATGCACCTCAGTTCATATGCCATCATATAGAGTAATGTGAAAGTGATATTGGTTGCAAAAGTTTAACAGACACCACATACCTTCAAGTTGTCTAAAGATACAGACATAAGAACAGACCCATCCCGATGCAGAACCCCTCGATAATCAACCTCCTCACCCTATAACATGAACAGAGGCTCAGCTTGGAAGCTCAAAAGATGTATCCACTATCCAAATAGAAATGAAAATAGAAGACAAACCTCCTTTTGCACTGGTAGTTGACCACTTCTCCGCTGGAAATCAAAATAACGTCTATGCTTCTCTTCAAAAGGAGCCTGCAATCAATAATCATAAGAATAGTTCACATATAACATTTTTCTTTGAAAGTCATTCAAATATATGAAATGAGATCGATTCGAGACTCACCACTCCTTTTTGAAAATTTGAAGCTAGCATGCCAAGGTTCGCCAATTTCCTGCAAGGGTCAATCTCTTCTTCTGGTGGTTCAGTGAGTGAAACTCTGATGGTATCCCCCAAACCATCCTGTAGATATCAGGTTTATGAATTATATTGGTGATTACCTCATAATTGTAGTTTCTACCAAATTGCCTTAAAAATATCCATCACAAAATAATATATAAGCTTCAACGTACAGTTAGCCTTCATATCACTTTCCTTCAGAACCTCGTGTAACTAGTTCACATATGATCAGTCCCAAGGTTGGCAGGTCTAGTAAAAAGGAAATGGAATTTAAGAAGCATAGCTGGTTATTTTAACAAGTACCTGAAGAAGAGTTCCAATGCCAATTGCAGATTTCATACGTCCATCTTCACCTTCACCGGCTTCAGTAACCCCCAAATGCAAAGGGTAGTCCCACCCTTGCACATACATTTCTGCAACAAGTAACCGATATGCTTCGACCATGATTACTGGGTTACTTGCTTTCATTGAGAACACAAAATTGTGAAAGTCTAGCTTGCGGCAAATTCTTGCAAATTCAAAGGCAGATTCAACCTGTCTCCAATAGTAGTATGCGTGGACTGAGGAACCATTCACATAGGAAAAGACACACAAAAAAGATAGCTACATGTTGAGAAAATAATCACCATTCCCCTAGGAGAATCGCCATAGTAACTCATTATGCGATCAGATAAACTTCCATGATTTGTTCCAATCCTCATTGCTCGTCCATACTTTTTGCATTTCTCTACTAATGGAGTAAAAACCTGGTTTAAAAAATCCATTTTAGATGTCAGTGATAGAAAAAATCATACCAAACAAATAGGTATACATGCATAAACTAGCACTTGCCAAGGAATGCTTTATTAACATGTAAAAACAAAATTTTGATAAATTCTTATTAGCAGTATCTGAAGTCTGTTCACGGACATTAAGGTGTTATAGAAGACATGTATGCAGACATGTAAAACATCCTAAAATTGAAATGACAACACTTTTAGTAGGAGATCATGTGTAACTACCTAATAGGCTAATCCTGTTACCAATAAACTGATAGAAAGGTTATCTAGGTGGCATGCCTGAAAAAGTAATATCCTCAAACTACAGGAATTGTACATCTAGATTAAAGGGGCAAAAAAAAAACTTTGCATCATCAACATGTGAGTCTTCCCAGTTGAGCGTGGATGGCTAAAATATGATATTTGCACTAATATAGGTTGCAGTACGTTTCTAATCTTCAGAGAAGCCTTAAGTGAGAAAAACAAGGATAGTAAATTTAATGACCTGCTCAATATGCTCAAGCTCCTTCTGATAGTCATCATCTGTATATTCTAGCTTTTCAAATTGGGCCCTCCTATCAGCTGCAAGCAAAGTGCATCAGTAACCGCATGAAAAAATTTCTAGTATTTGTTTAATGTGTTAACTTCCACAAATGTCATGAAAGAAATATGAGTGTTCCATACCAAAATTTCCAGGATTGACACGAATCTTATCAAAACATTCAGCCACTCTCAATGCAACTGTAGGGGCAAAATGAATGTCTGCCACCAGAGGAATATTATAACTGGAAAGACAACATTAGTGATGTGAATCGTGACAAGTAAATAAATGTTAAAAGTCTCCTATATGCATGATAGCTAAATGGTAAAAACCTACTTTTTCTGAACAAGAGTATTCTTAATATCAAAGCAAGCATCTGCTTCTCTCTTTCCTTGAACTGTTATCCGGACCAAATCTGCACCTTTATCTGCTATTCTCATCACCTGGTGAATACAATTATAATTTTTGCATATTAATTAATTTGTATCATTAAGTTATGAAAATAACAACATGAAATAGTAATATTGAAAAATTGTAATTAATGTGAGAAAAAAGATGCACTGAAAAACATACATCAAAATAGGAATTTTTTCAGTAGTATAAAATATGCAGTGGGGACGAGTATAGGAGATTTGTGACCCTGGTGAAAGGTATTAACAATCTGTATTCCTTCAATCAATACGAACTAGTTAAAAGGGTTCTGCCTATGTGGAGTATCTGCATTAATATAATATGTTAAGAGAGTATCAGGGTGTATATGCGTTATTCTGTTCAGTTAACTTGTTGATTCCTTTGTACCAAGCAAAAAAATTAACTGAAGTTCAAATATTCACATGACAACAGATTCAAGTTTTAGTATTGAACCAAACAAAGAGCACTGATGCTTCAAGTTTAGCAGATTGTGTTGCGTGGACATCATTGGCTCCAGTGACTACAGTACAAGCTCATAACAAATAAATAGATGAACAAATCTTCGAATTAAAACTTCAATGCCCTCATTATAAACACTAAAAGATTACGACAGCAATCAAACCTCCTCAACGGTTTTAGCGACATCTTTGGTGTCAGAGGTAGTCATCGTCTGAATTCTGATGGGGTGCTCGCTGCCAAGAGCTACATTTCCGATCATCACGGTTCGAGTTTTTCTCCTAACAGTCTTATGAATTGATTCACAATACTTCTGCCTCGGAACTACACATATAAACCACAAATTCCAATCAAAATTCATGAACTATCTATCTAAAATCTCAAAAATTCACTAGTTCAAAAATTCCACAATTATTTACCTAAGAGAGGGCTTCCTTCAGAAGCAGGTTCCACCTCAACGGTATCAGATCCTGAGACAGAACTATTAACCACCGGAAAAGACTTAATTTTCGAGCATTTTCTCCGAGAATTTGGAACATAAGCAACTTTTGTGAAATCCACACTCTTGGCAAAGCTCAGCCGTGAATCCCTACTCTTCTCGCTCAGAGAAGGGAAAGATGCCGGAATTGTTCCAGTATCAAAAGTTGAATTCTCACATTAAATAGACTAAATTAAAAAAAACACACACACACACACAGAACACGAGTTAGAGGGAAATGGCGCCAAAAAGTAAACTTTTAAGATCAAATAACAAAAATCCCAAAAAGACTAAAATCGCCAAAAATTATCAAAATCTGCTCGAACTAAATAAAAACATCAAGCTAAGTCAACCGTCCCTTGGTCCTATCACCAATCCAAGCAATCGAGTTAATAAAAGTTCGATTTTTACACAAATAAACTAAAGTCAACATTAAAAAATTAGGAATTTGAAAGGAAAAGTATCAATTAAATCAAAATTTCTCAAGAAACTCCCCAACTGGCGCCAAAAAGATAACTTTTACGATCAAACGTTCTAATTCACCAAAAATTATCAAAATCCCATCAAACGCAAACAAAATTAATAGCACAACTCAGCTCCTACCAACTACAAACTTCAAAGGACAATCGAGAGAACTCACCAGGGATTGTGGAAGGCGAATTGGGGATAGGGAGAGCTGAAGAACAAAGACAAAATTGGATCTTTGGGCTTTTCCACTTGATGACTGGCTCTATTTATTTCCAATTTTTCTTAATTTTTTAATTATTAAAAATTAATTTAGTTGAAAGGGGTAGTGTTTCTCATTTTTGGTGCTGTATCTATTATCTGATTTATATGCTCTGGATCTTTGGCGGAATCTTTTATCTCAATATTTCGTGGACTATGACTCAATGGACCTAATTCCGACCATATGACGTGGCTTAATTCGATTGGATGGCAGGAGGGACGTATTTGGTTGGTTGAAATTTGGTCTTTTTAATGCTTAATACTTTCTTTTTATTTTATTATTTACCAGTGGCTTCTTTTTAAGTGAATTTGTGAACGAAATAAATGGACACTGGATAATTAGAGAAATTTGTAAATTTAGAGGTCTTCTTCTATTGACAAATCAAATCTAATAATCTAGAATTTTCTCGAAATGCCTTGAAATGATAAAATGGCTACAATATCTTTGAAAAATATGGCTCTGTGATTATTTTAGAAAAAAATACTTCTTTTTTTTATTGGAATCTTCATTCTGGGAACACTTCCTCATTAGATTTAATGTTTTTTAAGTTTCTTGATAAATTATGGATTGTTAGAAATGATAAATGATATTTTTCTCTTGTCTTTCTTTCTTCTTGTTTTTGTCTGGCGTCCAAGTGTGATACATGCTTGAACCTACAATATTATTAAACTAATTAATACCGAACACAGTTTAATGTTTCGTCAAACGTGTAGCATCAAATTAATAAGAGAAAAAAAATTCATAACAATTAAATTTTGGAGGTCTTGAGACTATAGTTTGTAGGGTATACATAAGTTAGAGGAAACTGTGTTGGGGATTCGAAACAATCAATCGAACCATTGCCCTTCCGGACCTTGTGTTGAAAGTAGGAAAGTATGAATAATACCACAAATAAAGATCTAACTTGCAAAAAACAGTAAAAGATACGAACACACAGATTTAACGAGGTTCGGCAACATGCCAACGTCCTCGGGAGCCACACCACACAATCTCTTTATTAATTGAAGAAGAAAATACAAGCTCTCAAACAAGGGATTAATCTCTCTGAGATTCTCTCTCTCTTTGCAGTCAAAAAGCTCTCTTTTTGATGTTATACAAACCCTAAAACGTTTGGAGTATATATATAGAATCCTGATTGAAACAGATTCCTAAACAGAACAGGAACTTGCCAAAAATACGCGCGGTCGACCGACGCGGTCGACCGATGGTCTCGCGGTCGACCGACGCGGTCGACCGATTGCAAAACCCGAGAGCAGTTTTCCTACAGGGTTTTGGCGGTCGACCACGACCTAATCCAAGCTCTCCCAGCTCCTGTGCAGGTTCACGGTCGACCGGATCGGTCGACCGTGGATCTTTCTGCTCGATTTTCTGTCTTTTTGATTCCAGCTATTGTCTCGAACTTTGGGTCTACACCTTAGACTAACAATCTCCCACTTGGAGACCAAAGTGCCTGCAATGAGTTCTCCCGAACTCTCCCCTTCTTCGCATGTATCTTTTCCCCGAAAAAATTCTTCCTTCAATCAACAATATCCCGGCGATCTCGCCGATCCTCGTAGTGTGGCTCCGCCTTCGTCTTCTACTCGTGAAGGCCGACTGAAGTTGCGCACAACTCCTGTTTCTCAATGGTGACTGCCTTCGTCAGCATGTCCGCCGGATTTTGACTCCCCAAAATCTTCATTAAATGCAACTTTCCGTCCTCAACTAGCGAGCGTATAAAATAGTATTTGACGTCGATATGCTTCGTTCTGGCATGATATACTGGATTCTTGGAAAGATGTATAGCGCTCTGGCTATCACAATAAAGAACTACTCTCCCTTGCTTCAGATCCAACTCTTCCAAGCACCCGTTCAACCAGATCATCTCCTTGCTTGCTTCAGTCACCACGACATACTCAGCTTCGGTTGTAGACAAAGTCACAATCTTCTGCAGACGTGAGACCCAGCTCACTGTTGTCGACGCTAAGGTATAAACATACCCCGTGGTGCTTCGCCTCGTATCATGATCACCGGCGAAGTCCGCATCCACGTATCCCTGCAGCACCAACTCCTTCTTCCTGAAACATAGTGGCTTGTTCGTTGTCCCCCTCAAGTACCGCATTATCCACTTCACGGCCTTCCAATGCTGCTTTCCTGGATTGCTTGTAAATCTGCTCACAACTCCTACTGCATGGGCGATGTCCGGCCTCGTGCAAACCATCGCGTACATGAGACTCCTAATGGCCGAAGAATATGGCACCCTGCTCATATGCTCTCTATCTGCATCTGTCTTAGGTGATTGCTCCTCAGATAGCTTGAACTGACTTCCAATGGGTGTGCTAACAACTTTAGCATTCTGCATGTTAAACCTCTAAAGTACATTCTCAATGTATTCAGCTTGGCTCAATCTCAATGTCCCTTTAGCTTCATCCCTACTGATTCGCATCCCTAAAATCTGCTTCGCTGCACCCAGATCCTTCATTGTAAATTCCTTTGCTAGATGTCTCTTCAAATTGTTTATCTCTTCTAAACACAGTCCTGCTACCAACATGTCATCAACATATAATAACAAAATAATGAAGCTGGACTCGAACCTTTTGAAATAACAGCAATGATCCGAATTGCATCTTCTGTAGCCATTGTTCTGCATGAAGTTATCAAACTTCTTATACCACTGTCTCGGAGCCTGTTTCAAACCATATAAGCTCTTCTTGAGCTTGCACACCATCTCTTCCTTTCCTTCTTCAATGAAGCCAACAGGTTGCTTCATGTAGATTTCTTCATCCAAGTCACCATGAAAAAAGGCAGTCTTCACATCTAACTGCTCAAGGAAGAGGTCTTCTGCAGCTACCAAACTCAACACCACTCTGATGGTTGTGAGTTTCACAACAGGGGAAAATCTCTCCGTGTAGTCTACTCCTTCCCGCTGTTAAAACCCCTTCACGACTAATCTAGCCTTGAATCTCTTGCTTCCATCACTCTCCTGCTTGACCCGGTAGACCCATTTATTGTGCAAGGCTTTCTTCTGTGCAGGTAGCTGGGCTAACTCCCATATCTCATTAGTGAGTAGAGAATCCATCTCCTCCTGCATCGCATGCTCCCACTGCTGAGATTCACTCACTTTCTCCTCCTGCATCGCATGCTCCCACTGCTGAGATTCACTCACTTGCACTGCCTCTTCACAACACTCCGTCTCTCCGCTATCTGTTAAGAGTAGATAATCAAGTGACGAGAGGTATTTAGGATTTGGTTTGGGTACCCTGGATGACCTTCTAAGCTCCACGCCCTGGGTAGTAGCTTCTTCACCTGTAGTCTCCTCCGTTCTACGGTCAGAACTGACATCGTCGCCCCCATCTGGAAGTTCCCCCAAATCCATGTACTCGGATCCACCTGTATCCGTAGTGCTGCTCCTACTGCTTTGACTATCCTTGGCATTGTCCATGTCCTTGTACATCACCTCCTCATTGAATATCACATCCCGGCTCCTGATGATCTTCCTGTTCTTTTTATCCCAAAGGCGATACCCAAACTCATCAATGACGTATCCAATGAATGTGCACTTCTGTGACTTAGCTTCTAGCTTGTCCCTGACATGGTCACTGAAATGAACATAAGCCACGCAACCAAATACCCGCAAGTGTGAGAGATTTATCTTCTTTCCACTCCAAACCTCCTCTAGAATCCCAAAATCTAATAAAACAGATGGCCCGTGATTAATCAGGTAGGCTGCCGTATGCACCGCATCCGCCCAAAATGTCTTAGGCAGACCTGCATGTAGTCGCATGCTCCGTGCACGCTCTGTCAAGGTCCTGTTCATTCTCTCTGCAATGCCGTTCTGCTGCGGCGTCCCTGGAGTAGTCCTCTCTAAGCGAATCTCATTTGTAGCACAGAACCTCTTGAACTCCTCCAGCTCATATTCTCCACCATTATCTGATCTCAAGCACTTCACCTTCAGATCTGTCTCGTTCTCGACCATGGCCTTCTACTTCTTGATGATTTCGAACACCTCTGACTTGTGCTTCATGAAGTAAACCCACACCTTCCTCGAGTGATCGTCGATAAAGGTGACGTAGTATCTCGAACCGCCAAAAGAAGACACACTAGCTGGGCCCCATACATCTGTATGAATCAACTCTAGCTTCTGAGCCTTAGGTGGCCTTCCACCCTTCTGGAAACTAACCCTCTTCTGCTTCCCAAAGATGCAGTCTTCACAAACCCCGACTTCCACGATGTCGATCCCGGTTAGCTTTCCTTGTGATTGTAGAATTTTCATCCCCTTCTCGCTCATGTGTCCCAGCCTGTTGTGCCACATATCTGTACTCTCCTTGCCAGCTGCAATTGCGAGGGTGTCACTCACATGTGAAGTGAGGTAGAGAGTTCCGTTTTATTACCTCGGGCAACAACCATAGTACCGTTGGAGATTCTCCACGAATCCCCAGTGAATGTCGAAACGTAGCCTTCTGCTCCAAGCTGTCCCACCGAAACAAGATTCCTCTTCAGCTTCGGCACGTGTCTCATGTTCTTCAAATTCCACTTAGAGCCCTTTATCTGTATCTGAACGTCGCCCTTTCCAATAATATTACAAGGTTCATTATCCCCCAAATATACTTTACCAAAGTCCCCTGCTACATAGTTCTGAAGTAGTTTCCTATTAGCAGTGGCGTGAAAAGAAGCTCCTGAGTCGATGACCCAAGAATCAGAATCGCTATCCATAGCAAGGATCAAGGCATCCTGCACGATATAAGCCTTCTGCTCACCCGCATCCTTCTTTGGTGCTTTACAGACCGAAGACATATGGCCCTCCGGGCCACAGTTCCAACACTTCCCTTTGATAGACCTAACCTTCGAGTTCAGCCTCTTCTTTACTGATTTCGACCGATTCTTGTTCTGGTTCCCTTTCTTCTAGCTTCTGCCTCTCTGCTCGAAACTTAGGGCTGAACCTGAACCTTCTGATTCGGACAATTTCCTTCTAACCTCCTCGGATAGAATCATGCTAACAACCTCATTCAGCTTCAACTTCTCTTTCCCCGCTGAATTGCTGATTGCCGTCACACAACCTGCCCAACTATCCGGCAACTGCGATAGTAGTAGAAGGGCCTGCACTTCGTCATCGAACGTGATGTCCACGGAGATAAGTTGATCAACAATCGTGTTGAACTCGCTGAGATGCATCGTGAAGGACCGTCCTTCTGCCATCTTGAGGTTGAAAAGAGTTTTGACTAGATGTACCTTGTTTGCTACCGACGGTTGCTCGTACATCTTCGCGAGCGCTTCCATAAGCCCCACCGTCGTCTTCTCCTTCAGAATATTGTGGGCTACTGATTTGACGAGCGACAACCGGATTTTCCCTAGAGCCTTCCTATCCAGTACCTCTCAATCACCATCTAAATCCTCTTTCTTCTTTCCCTTTTTCTTGCCCATCAACGAGCGATACAAGCCCTTCTGGTGCAGATAGTCCTCCATATGTGACTTCCAGTAGGCGAAGTCTGAACCGTCAAACTTCTCGATCTTTGATTTGCTTTCCTTTGCCATGTCTTTCACACAAATTGCTGAACGAAGCTCTGATACCAGTTGTTGGGGATTCGAAACAATCAATTGAACGAAGCTCTGATACCAGTTGTTGGGGATTCGAAACAATCAATCGAACCCTTGCTCTTCCGGACCTTGTGTTGAAAGTAGGAAAGTAGGAATAATACCACAAATAAAGATCTAACTTGCAAAAAAAGTAAAGGAGGCGAACACACAGATTTAACGAGGTTCGGCAACGTGCCTACGTCCTCGGGAGCCACATCACACAATCTCTTTATTAATTGAAGAAGAAAATACAAGCTCTCAAACAAAGGATTAATCTCTCTGAGATTCTCTCTCTCTTTGCAGTCAAAAAGCTCTCTTTTTGATGTTATACAAACCCTAAAACGTTTGGGGTATATATATATAGAATCCTGATTGAAACAGATTCCTAAACAGAACAGGAAGGTCGACCGGCTCTGCCACTGCGGTCGACCGCACAGTCTTCTGACTGTTTTCTTCGTCTTTTCGATTGCAGCTTCGGGTCTACACACTTAGACTAACAATCTCCCACTTGGAGACCAAAGTGCCTGCAATGAGTTCCCCCGAACTCTCCCCTTCTTCGTATGTATTTTTTCCCCCGAAAAAGTTCTTCTTTCAATCAACAAAATCTCGGCGATCTCGCCGATCCTCGTAGTGTGGCTCCGCCTTCGTCTTCTACTCGTGAAGGCCAACTGATGTTGCGCACAACTCCAGTTTCTCAATGGTGACTGCCTTCGTCAACATGTCCGCCGGATTTTGACTCCCCAAAATCTTCATTAAATGTAACTTTTCATCCTCAACTAGCGAGCGTATAAAATAGTATTTGACGTCGATATGCTTCGTTCTGGCATGATATACTAGATTCTTGGAAAGATGTATAGCGCTCTGGCTATCACAATAAAGAACTCCTCTCCCTTGCTTCAGATCCAACTCTTCCAAGCACCCGTTCAACCAAATCATCTCCTTGCTTGCTTCAGTCACCGCGACATACTCAGCCTCGGTTGTAGACAAAATCACAATCTTCTGCAGACGTGAGACCCAGCTCACTGCTGTCGACGCTAAGGTATAAACATACCCCGTGGTGCTTCGCCTCGTATCATGATCATAGGCGAAGCCCGCATCCACGTATCCCTACAGCACCAATTCCTTCTTCCTGAAACATAGTGGCTTGTTCGTTGTCCCCCTCAAGTACCGCATTATCCACTTCACGGCCTCCCAATGCTGCTTTCCTGGATTGCTTGTAAATCTGCTCACAACTCCTACTACATGGGCGATGTCCGGCCTCGTGCAAACCATCGCGTACATGAGACTCCCAATGGCCGAAGAATATGGCACCCTGCTCATATGCTCTCTATCTGCATCTGTCTTAGGTGATTGCTCCTCAGATAGCTTGAACTGACTTCCAATGGGTGTGCTAACAACTTTAGCATTCTGCATGTTAAACCTCTAAAGTACATTCTCAATGTATTCAGCTTGGCTCAATCTCAATGTCCCTTTAGCTTCATCCCTACTGATTCGCATCCCTAGAATCTGTTTCGCTGCACCCAGATCCTTCATTGTAAATTCCTTTGCTAGATGTCTCTTCAAACTGTTTATCTCTTCTAAACACAGTCCTGCTACCAACATGTCATTAACATATAATAACAAAATAATGAAGCTGGACTCGAACCTTTTGAAATAACAGCAATGATCCGAATTGCATCTTCTGTAGCCATTGTTCTGCATGAAGTTATCAAACTTCTTATACCACTGTCTCGGAGCCTGTTTCAAACCATATAAGCTCTTCTTAAGCTTGCACACCATCTCTTCCTTTCCTTCTTCAATGAAGCTAACAGGTTGCTTCATGTAGATTTCTTCATCCAAGTCACCATGAAGAAAGACAGTCTTCACATCTAACTGCTCAAGGAAGAGGTCTTCTGCAGCTACCAAACTCAACACCACTCTGATGGTTGTGAGTTTCACAACAGGGGAAAATCTCTCCGTGTAGTCTACTCCTTCCCGCTGTTGAAACCCTTTCCTAATCTAGCCTTGAATCTCTTGCTTCCATCACTCTCCTGCTTGACCCGGTAGACCCATTTATTGTGCAAAGCTTTCTTCTGTGCAGGTAGCTGGGCTAACTCCCATGTCTCATTAGTGAGTAGAGAATCCATCTCCTCCTGCATCGCATGCTCCCACTGCTGAGATTCACTCACTTGCACTGCCTCTTCACAACACTCCGGCTCTCTGCTATCCGTTAAGAGTAGATAATCAAGTGACGAGAGGTATTTGGGATTTGGTTTGGGTACCCTGGATGACCTCCTAAGCTCCACGCCCTGGGTAGTAGCTTCTGCACCTGTAGTCTCCTCCGTTCTACGGTCAGAACTGACATCGTCGCCCCCATCTGGAAGTTCCCCCAAATCCATGTACTCGGATCCACCTGTATCCATAGTGCTGCTCCCACTGCTTTGACTATCCTTGGCATTGTCCCTGTCCTTGTACATCACCTCCTCATTGAATATCACATCCCGGCTCCTAATGATCTTCCTGTTCTTTTTATCCCAAAGGAGATACCCAAACTCATCAATGTCGTATCCAATGAATGTGCACTTCTATGACTTAGCTTCTAGCTTGTTCCTGACATGGTCACAGATATGAACATAAGCCACGCAACCAAATACCCGCAAGTGTGAGAGATTTATCTTCTTTCCACTCCAAACCTCCTCTGGAATCCCAAAATCTAATGGAACTGATGGCCCGTGATTAATCAGGTAGGCTGCCGTATGCACCGCATCCGTCCAAAATGTCTTAGGCAGACCTGCATGTAGTCGCATGCTCCGTGCACGCTCTGTCAAGGTCCTGTTCATTCTCTCTGCAATGCCGTTCTGCTGCGGCGTCCCTGGAGTAGTCCTCTCTAAGCGAATCCCATTCGTAGCACAGAACCTCTTGAACTTCTCCAGCTCATATTCTCCACCATTATCTGATCTCAAGCACTTCACCTTCAGATCTGTCTCGTTCTCGACCATGAACTTCCCCTTCTTGAAGATTTCGAACACCTCTGACTTGTGCTTCATGAAGTAAACCCATACCTTCCTCGAGTGATCGTCGATAAAGGTGACGTAGTATCTCGAACCGCCAAAAGAAGACACACTGGCTGGGCCCCATACATCTGTATGAATCAACTCTAGCTTCTGAGCCTTAGGTGGCCTTCCACCCTTCTGGAAACTAACCCTCTTCTGCTTCCCAAAGATGCAGTCTTCACAAACCCCGACTTCCACGATGTCGATCCCGGTTATCTTTCCTTGTGATTGTAGAATTTTCATCCCCTTCTCGCTCATGTGTCCCAGCCTGTTGTGCCACAGATCTGTACTCTCCTTGCCAGCTGCAATTGCGAGGGTGTCACTCGCATGTGAAGTGAGGTAGAGAGTTCCGTTTTATTGCCTCGGGCAACAACCATAGTACCGTTGGAAATTCTCCACAAATCCCCAGTGAATGTCGAAACGTAGCCTTCTGCTCCAAGCTGTCCCACCGAAACAAGATTCCTCTTCAGCTTCGGCACGTGTCTCACGTTCTTCAAATTCCACTTAGAGCCATTTATCTGTATCTGAACGTCGCCCTTTTCAACAATATTGCAAGGTTCATTATCCCCCAAATATACTTTACCAAAGTCCCCTGCTACATAGTTCTGAAGTAGTTTCCTATTAGCAGTGGCGTGGAAAGAAGCTCCTGAGTCGATGACCCAAGAATCAGAATCGCTATCCATAGCAAGGATCAAGGCATCCTGCACGATATGAGCCTTCTGCTCACCCGCATCCTTCTTTGGTTCTTTACAGACCGAAAACATATGGCCCTCCTGGCCGTAGTTCCAACACTTCCCTTTGATAGACCTAACCTTCGAGTTCGGCCTCTTCTTTACTGATTTTGACCGATTCTTGTTCTGGTTCCCTTTCTTCTAGCTTCTGCCTCTCTGCTCGAAACTTAGGTCTGAACCTGAACCTTCTGATTCGAACAATTTCCTTCTAACCTCCTCGGATAGAATCATGCTAACAACCTCATTCAGCTTCAACTTCTCTTTCCCCGCCGAATTGCTGATTGCCGTCACACAACCTGCCCAACTATCCGGCAACTGCGATAGTAGTAGAAGGGCCTGCACTTCGTCATCGAACGTGATGTCCACGGAGATAAGTTGATCAACAATCGTGTTGAACTCGCTGAGGTGCATCGTGAAGGACCGTCCTTCTGCCATCTTGAGGTTGAAAAGAGTTTTGACTAGATGCACCTTGTTTGCTGCCGACGGTTGCTCGTACATCTTCGCGAGCGCTTCCATAAGCCCCACCGTCGTCTTCTCCTTCAGAATATTGTGGGCTACTGATTTGACGAGCGACAACCGGATTTTCCCTAGAGCCTTCCTATCCAGTACCTCCTAATCACCATCTGACTCCTCTTTCTTCTTTCCCTTTTCCTTGCCCATTAACGGGCGATACAAGTCCTTCTGGTACAGATAATCCTCCATCTGCGACTTCCAGTAGGCGAAGTCTGAACCGTCAAACTTCTCGATCTTTGATTTGCTTTCCTTTGCCATGGCTTTCACACAAATTGCTGAACGAAGCTCTGATACCAGTTGTTGGGGATTCGAAACAATCAATCGAACCCTTGCCATTCCGGACCTTGTGTTGAAAGTAGGAAAGTAGGAATAATACCATAAATAAGGATCTAACTTGCAAAAAACAGTA